TGTCAGCGCTTTTAGTGCGTCTCTGCCCACACTGTTGACACTCTGCAAACCAATCCATTATGAACTTTAAACTCTAGGAACAACCAAAATGACGAGTACAAGGTATCAACGAAGACAGATGCACGAAAATGACGAATGCAAGGGAATGGATTTTCATTGTAGCCGTATGTGAATGTGTGTCATAGACTATGTCCCAGTCCTTGAGAACGAGAATGGGTGCTTTTAAGCTGAAATGCTATAGAAAGATTCTGAGAATGTAGTTGGCGAAGAATACAAGAAAAACTGACATTGGAAAGGATCAAAACATCATAGAAGATTGGCTAATAAACAGCATCTTGTCACTAAAGCTGAAATATTTCGGTCATATCAAGCGCCACGAATAAATTGGAAAAAAAATGTTATCAGAAGGCATGGTACCAGCAAGGAGGGGCAGGGGCAGACTAGCACAAAGATGGGTACCTCGTACTTAGTCCCAAAGAAAACAAGAAATGTTCTACTTGTTGTGTGCATGATAGTTTTTCTTTAACGATACATTAAAAAAAAATTATTACTGTACTGTTACATACAGGTCAATAATTAATTAATGTATGGGGGCATAAATATTGTTAACTAAAACAAGTGAAACCAGTGAATTATTCGCCTTGAACACTGGGTACATATTTTGAACGTTTGGTAATCGACACCAAGGACCGAACATTTCGTTGCTACATTACCCAATACCCACCCACACTTGACTAGAAGCTACTTCATAAACGTTTGTGGTGCCCTTATATAACTCTGCTGTAGGGCGTCTATGGCTTAGGCCTTGTAAAAGCGCTTAGAAATGACGGGGTACCGGGTTCGATCCCAGCTGCGGACGATTTGTCTTGCGTTGGTTTCGACAGAGGATACCGAGAGTTGACCTTCCAGTAGCACCCTTGGTTACACCCAGGTGGCTCATTCTCTCCAGGCCACAATAATCTTGTTTCTCTACTGATTCCGTTGCCTGTTCCCAAAGGGCTTTACTGTTTGATATTACAGTAGCTATTTATAACAAGGGAGCCGACGTGGTTTAATGACTAGAAGGTAATGAGTTATGGACCTTTTTTTTAAATGATCTTGACTTTCACGTCGACCCAGGCTTTAAAACTGGTACCAGGTGAAGTCATAGAAAGAAAAGGCGGCTATTGTGATTCTGACCATGTCACTTACTTAGTGCCCATCGGTCTATAACATATACGTCTAGTCATGTATGCCCAATACGCCTAAATGTGTGGAAAAGGGGCTTTTACATTTCTTGTAATTTATTACAAAACACCACTTGTCTTAAACATAGCGAACGGAACGTTCGCTTTATGCTCACTTTACTCATGCAGAAACTGTAACGTGTGAAAACTATCAGTTACAAGTACGACGATGCTAACGGCGTCCGCCTATTCTCAATGATAAATAATAATTATCGCAACTTGATAACGGCTGTCCAGCTGATAAAGGTCACAAAAGACAGTTGTTTACAGGGGAACATCATCGCCTTTGTCAGTTAGCCTGACCTTTAACGATAGTACGTGACAAAAAAATGCAGATGCTATTCTTAACTTTGGATTAATTAGATACTCTAAAATGTATTTGCTGATTAATGAGTTCCTGCTGTAGATGGTAGGAATTTCCAACGAACCTCGTACTATGTCCGAAAGAAAACGAGAAATGTTCTACTTGTTTTGTGCATGCTAGTTTTTCTTTAAAGATACATTTAAAAAAAATTATTATTGTACTGTTACATACAGGTCATTAATTAATTAATGTATGGGGACATAAATATTGTTAACTAAAACCAGTGAATTATTCGCCTTGAAAACTGGGTACATATTTTGAACGTTTGGTAATCAACACCAAGGACCGAACATTTCGTTGCTGCATTACCCAATACCCACCCACACTTGACTAGAAGCTACTTCATAAACGTTTGTGGTGCCCTTATATAACTCTGCTGTAGGGCGTCTATGGCTTAGGCCTTGTAAAAGCGCTTAGAAATGACGGGGTACCGGGTTCGATCCCAGCTGCGGACTATTTGTCTTGCGTTGGTTTCGACAGAGGATACCGAGAGTTGACCTTCCAGTAGCAATGGCAAACTACTGACAGTAAAATTTGCCTAGGAAATCTACAACAGCCTTAAGACACCTCGGCTAGTTCTGCAACGTCCTGTAAAGGATACGCAAATAACTTTTATGACTGTTGGTTGAAGGGGTCTTCGAGGATTTCCACCTGTTTAATTATTATCCCTACGATTTTAAACCTACAGAGTAAAAACCTGAATGGTTTAAGCCTTTAAAAAAACTGACCACTTGGTCATTAGAAGGGAACAAGGTATCGGAAATTACAGCAGAATATCTAGTGTTGTCCACGGTCCCCAGTGAAATAGTTATTTGAATAATAGTCTTGTGTCCAATAGTCAGTACCCACCGAGTACTGGTAGATCATTGAAATATGGCTCTAGCCCTATGTGTCAACATTTCCCGAGAGATTGTGGAAAATGTTCTTTTACTTTTCTTTTCAATTTTTTTTAAAACTTGTATCCACAACAGACACTGGCAGAGATGGGTGTATCCATCCAGTGTTGTCACTGTGAATAATCTGCGGCTTTTCCTCGGTCCTAACCACATTAAAACTCTGATGCCAATGTGTGAAAGTAAGGGAAAACAATCTTGTTCTAAAGATCCTGAAAATCTACCGCTGGTCCATCAAGAATCATGAAAAGCATAAACTCTACTCGACAGAGTCACATGTAACATAAATAAATATGACACAATCCGTAAATGGTGATAAACCGTAAGCTTTATTGGCTAATCATGTTCTCTACAAAACAGGCTAGGCTTTGTGTTATTGACAGGAGTTAAATACTCATGCCTCAGTGTAGCACAAAACAACACTGTCCCCTGGACAGACAGAAAGGTGATGCAAAGATCAACATTATATACGCGATATTGAACTCAAATTTTCCTGTACACTCAGAGACAAATACTCTATTTTATATCCCCGACTTATATCGGAGGCTAAATACATTCTACAGAAATATGTGTAACATTTTAGCACGTCGTGAAAAGAGATCGATTGGATGAATAGCAAAGTTCTTGCTTGCTGCTGCACAAATTACTTGTTTTATTTTTACATTAGTCTGCTGATCCTGTGTTTAAAGTAGTAAATGTCATCAAATATAGAGTAGTTAAATTACCATTATCGCAGATTACTGTTGATTGATTGATTCTTCTTCTTCGTCGTCATTCTTCCGGATGGACCTAATTGCTGTTTACAGCATAGCTGCGATATCTGCCTATTTTAAACGACACCGCCAACTTCATCAGATATGTGTTCACCGGATTAGTCTTACCAGTGGCTTTCGTTGATCATGACTTAGCCTTATTTGTGTTTCGTCCTCTTTGTACCTTTATCTACAGGTGTCTCCAATACCCCCACCATGAGAACCCATCCAGGGCAACCGTGTGTAGACTGGTGAGTCTTTAAGGTAAGGAAGGGGCAGATCATAGGCAATCCCAGCCATCCAAGGAGGATTCGATAAATGCAGAGCCGACACATGACGCTTTGGTCCTGGGTATACACAAGGAATCGTAACGTCCATAATATGACTGCATAACCTCACATTCTTATTGTGGGCTTCCCCAGTCATCACGGGTTGCAATCTCTGGAGTTCAGTATGGAGCAGTCCCTACGTCTGAAACTTCGATGACCATACAAATGATGGCAATATTCTTCAGCAGGTTAGGCACGTTCAACTTTGGAATGACTGGCTGATTTGTTCCATCCGGGTTGCTACCTAAAGTGTTACCATGCCACCTTGAGCCTACAAAATTTTCGTCTGGACTCAGACCAAGATGGCAGGTCCCAAATGTTATATAAATAGTCATCCCCTTGTGGGGTGCAATTTTTCGTTATTTTGAAGCCCCACCTTGGCTATTGCCAGGGTCCACAATATAGCCCGACCATAAATATGACCTAATTGCTGAGACGTCTCCACGAGTGATCCTCATTTACATGGTGGCATTTTGTGTCATTTGGTTTTTGTCGCTTGTGTGATGTCCTAGTGGGGTAAAATCTACTACTACAACTAGGTACCAAATAGCCCGCTTGGTCTCCAAGGAAGTTTTAACTAAGATATGCGTAACGGCTACAAGAACCAGGCCTAACTTGAGGTCCCATGCAAGGAAGGGCGATTATCATGTTCTGTTGCATTCTTTAAGTTTTCGTTGCAACGGGGTCAAACTGTTTTTGACAAAATTTAAGGGACGTAGGATTGTTTGTTTCTTCAGTTTGATACTGCATCTTTTACATAGATTCCTGGGGGATCGTCACTGGACTATAGGAGTTCATGCTTCGTGCGACACTCTCAGCACTTAAAACATGCATAAATCGTGGTTTTCAAATTCATATAAACTGTTTTTTTATGTCTACGAATGTTTTTCTGACAGCCGCTTTAAAATTAGTGTTCATATTGATGTATACTATGAAATTTAGTAAAGAATGAATGAGAAACATTTGCTGTAAAAGAGTAAAAATTAGCATTGGGATTGCATATTTTAAATAAACTACAGAAGCTATCCCTGAAGGACAAGTACACAAAACGTAATTTCCACACACTACTGCACAAAACTTCACACTTTTCCAAGCTGGCGTTCCGTAGTTTCTGCAGGCAACTAATAAAGTTAAAGGATTTGATAACTGTCTGTCTTGTGCAGATTTGTTGCGCCTGTAAGCCAAAACAGCTATTTTGATATACAAAATTATTATTAGAAAGAAATTAGCAATATAAGCTATTACCATCACCAGAAAGTATTCAATGGGTGGATGGTTGATGATACAAAGTTTATGATATTGGGTATTTCTATATACAATCAATGGTATTGCCCCATAAACAAATGTCAGAATCCAGTAACAAATAATTAGCACCACAACACGCCTTCTGGTTACATGTTTGATGTAGAAAAACGGATAGATAATGTTGATATAACGATCAGCGGCGATAACTCCCATCTGGTTTATGGATAACATCAGAGTGGAATAAGTAACTCCCATTGTGAATGTATCCATTAAGATACCGTCGGTGACGATGTGTTGGAAAAACACTCTGTTTAATATCGCATTGATTCCACAGGAAGCAGCGTACAATATGTCAGCTACTGTGACGGATACAATGAAGATATTTGTGTTCGTGTGGAGGTTTGGAGTACGCCAGATTATAAAAAGTATGAGTACACTTTGAGCGATGACTAACGTGCTTAGAGTAATCCAAGAAATGCCAAACGGAACATTGTAATCTTTAGCTTGATCTATACAAGCGGATGTTATATTACGCGACATTGTTAGAGTTTGAAACAATTCAAATGGTTGTAATTCTCCAATATTATTATTTGTGTTGCCTCCAGAAAAAAAAAAAACCCGCTCAATCTGTTATAGTTATGAACTCACTCTCTGTATGACATTCCTAACTTCAGAAACATGCCTGGCATTCCTTTTCTGGAGAGTCGCCATGTTTGTGGGGTTGATTTTGCGAGACTGCTGTATCCGTCATGTATTTAATTCATTGTTTGTGACACATTGTCAACTTCCTGATCCCTTTCTGAAAAGAAACGCTGGTGATCGCTGTTTTTGCTGCTTGTCACGTTTTCTAAATGGTGTATCTTTTCTGCGTGGTTATCAATGTTAGTGCCATTAGGCTTGTTCATATGCTCGATGAGGAAGATGTTAACGTCTGGGTATCCCTTTCTGAAAAGAAACGCCGTCGCCTGCAGTCTTTGCTGGTTGTTATGTCTTCTTCTTTCTTTTTAAATACTATCTATTCTGTGTGTTTCATGACTGGGCAATAGCGATGTTAGTAACATTTTTAGACGATATGTTAGATAAAAATGTTTGACGAGGAAGATGTTCCCAGTTTTCTGTTCAGCATGGATCAGAATTCTGACGCATACTCTCATGAAAAATGGTGAGATTAAAGCTCAGAATCAAACTCAATGTAACTGAACTGCTTAAAATGTGCGGTGACGATGGTAGAACATCCTATTGTCTATTACATAACATATTAGGTTTTTGCATCTTCCCTGTACATTTATAGCATAGTAAAAATTGAATGTCCATATTTTTCCCAAGATATATCTTATCCGTTTATGTAAAGGAACATCAAAACTGATGACTATAATACAAATATACACAAACACACAAAGTATTTGACCTTGAATACGGAAAATAATCTTGAACTTAAAAAAGGGTCCACAATTTGAACAGTCTGACCTTAAAATAACAACAGCTTATTTTGATCTTGCAGGAAATATCCCCGAGTTTTCTGAATATTCTGCGAAAATGCATACAGTTGTCTTTATTTTGCATAGACTCACACGTTATCAAAGTCACAGTTTCCTACCTAATAATAGATACACATAGAAGTACCCCATGTTGTATCGCTTACTACTCTCAGAATTACAACTTGTTCTACAGAAACTTGTGTAACTTTTTGGTCTTTTTCTTCTCCTTCTCCACTTACCTAACGGAGTAACGGGGGCAGAGGGAATGACCGGCTGTGTGCGTTCTCTTTTTAATGCGTTGTATAAGCTGGTCTTCATTTTACATCTTGATAAAATAGATCAATAGGATCTGTGCGAGAATTTTAGCGTGTCTCAATACAAGAGACTTTATTTGTATCACATTCGACAGGCTTGTTTTTTGTTTACTGAACTAAGTGTTCTCAAATATTCCTCAGGAATAGTTTAATTATCCAAATCGCAGATTCCTTGTGTTTGTTTTGCGTTCCCTGTCAGATTTATTATCAAGCGCCACGACGGATTGGAACAAATTATAGCAGAAGGCATGGTACCAGGAAGGAGGGCAGGGACCGACCAACACGAAGGTGGGCACAGGATATAAGTGACTCCTTGATTATGAAATTACATGAGGCGGGAAAGCGGGCAAGAGACTGCGTTTCTTACAATCAGACCATGATGAGAGTGACGTTCTGCAAAGGACCTGCTACATGATGATGATTATGATCAGATTTATTACACAGAAGAATCCTCCCTCTAGAGCAGCGGTTCTCAGCCTGTGGGTCACGTCCCTTTTTTTTAGGTCGAACGAACCTGTCACAGGGATCGTCATAGACCACCGGAAAACAAATATTCGTTGAAGCTATGATGTAGCAACGAGAATAAGTGTGCGTCTGGTGATCGCCGCAACATGAGAAACTGTATTAAAGGGTCGCCACAACATGCAACAATTAATTAAAGGGTAGCCACAACACGAGAAACTGTATTAAAGGTAGCCACAACACGTAAAACTGTATAAAGGGTAGCTACAACACGAGAAACTGTATTAAAGAGTTGCCCTAACACGAGAAACTGCATTAAAGGGTAGCCACAAAATGTAAAAGTTTATTAAAGGATGGCCACAACACGAGAAACTGTATTAAAGGGTCGCCACAACATGATACAGTTTATTAAAGGGTAGCCACAAAGCGTAAAACTGTATTAAAGGGTCGCCACAACATGAAAAACTTTATTAAAGGGTAGCCACAACACGAGAAACTGAGTTAAAGGGTAGCCAGAACACGAGAAACTGTATTAAAGGGTAGCTACAACATAAAAAAGTTTATGAAAGGGTAGCCCCAACACGAGAAACTTTATTAAAGGGTCGCCGCAACCTGAAAAAGTTTATTGAATGGTAGCCACAACAAGTGAAACTGTATTAAAGGGTGGCCACAACCTGAAAAAGTTTATTAAATGGTAGCCACAACACGAAAAACTGTATTAAAGGGTAGCCACAACACGAGAAACTGTATTAAAGGGTCGCCACAACATGAAAAAGTTTATTAAATGATAGCCACAAAACGAGAAACTGTATTAAAGGGTAGCCACAACACGAGAAACTGTATTAAAGGGTAGCCACAACACGAGAAACTGTTTTAAAGGGCAGCAACAACACGAGAAACTGTATTAAAGGGTAGCCACAACACGAGAAACTGTATTAGAGGGTAGCCACAACACGAGAAACTGTATTAAAGGGTAGCCACAACACGAGAAACTGTATTAAAGGGTAGCCACAACACGAGAAACTGTATTAATGGGTAGCCACAACACGAGAAACTGTATTAAAGGTTAGCCACAACACGAGAAACTGTATTAGAGGGTAGCCACAACACGAGAAACTGTATTAAAGGGTTGCCACAACACGAGAAACTGTATTAAAGGGTAGCCACAACACGAGAAACTGTATTAAAGGTTAGCCACAACACGAGAAACTGTATTAGAGGGTAGCCACAACACGAGAATCTGTATTAAAGGGTAGCCACAACACGAGAAACTGTATTAGAGGGTAGCCACAACACGAGAATCTGTATTAAAGGGTAGCCACAACACGAGAAACTGTATTAAACGGTAGCCACAACACGAGAAACTGTATTAAAGGGTAGCCACAACACGAGAAACTGTATTAGATGGTAGCCACGACACGAGAATCTGTATTAAAGTGTCGCGGTATTAGGAAGTTGGAGAACCACTGTAAAGAGAAACATATTCCAGGGTTGCCAGACCTGGGGCTTCGGTCATCTTGACCTCCCCTCACCCAGATTTTTACGGGTGAGACAGGGAGTATTCTCTTCCCCCCCCCCCCCCCCCCCACCCCCCACCCCACCCCACTCTTTTTTCCATCTCCTTGCACTAATATTGTCTTGACAACAAAGGGGCAGGGAGGTTAGGCTTCTCGAAGCGCAACACGCCCTCCCTCCTTCCCAAATGGAAAGATGAAGGAGGTGAGTTGCCCAGACTCGCTTAGCATTCCCCCTCCTTTTTTACCCCTATAATTGTGTAGGACCTGAAAGGACTCTCTCTCTCTCTCACCCCATGACATTACATTCTTTACAGGTATCTACTTATACAATCATTACTATTCCAAGACTAATATTACTGTTTTTTGAAAAATGGTATTATTAACTACCTGGCGTATGGTATAGTTTCGTCAGCTCCCTGGAAGCCGTTCAGCCTTCTCAGTAATGAAAGCGCTAAGCCAATCCTTCTAATATTTCAAAGTTGTCTCATTCCTGGTGTCAGTCTGTTTTTTTTTTTTTTTCTGTTTTTTTTTTTTCAACTTTTAGATTTATTGAGGGTCATAACACCCCTCCCTCCCCGCCACCTCACATCTATTCCCCCCCCCCCACCCCCAAAAAATGTATGGGTGGCGAGGAGGTAGGGGCGTACAGCTACCCCTCGCGGCCTTTAGACTACAATACGGGTCTGAACCAAAGTTCCCTTTACAAGTTATTTCCGAAGCTCCTGCACCTCAAATTAGGACTACTGTGGTAGCACACAGCTGGTGTAAGTACACAGACCTCATCAACTAACCATACTAAACTTTGCGCGGAACCACTTTCGCTACAGCAATACATAACACACAAATGGATTGCCAATAACACAATAAGGTAACACAACAGCCAAATACCGACTGACTCTGTTTTTGGGGCACTGCCTTGTCTGACCGATGTGGTACTGTATTGTAAGCAGACTAAGCTGGTTCAAGTCTTTAACCAAAGTCTGAAGGCGACAAAGTAAGACTCGCGATGAGGCTTTAGACATCTTTAGACCCACGGTGGCAGCTGTTAAGCCCTCTCTAAAGACCGGTAAGAAATGGAAAGTCTTAAATGCGATAGAATCTGCCCAAGAGGCACTGAAATTGAAAAAAAGTCACACGCTCACAGTAATCCAGGAAATACTGAAGGTAACAGTGTAAAAGTCATTTGCACAAGTGGATAGGAAATTAGATTGTATGTTTAGGGTCTTTAAAAAAAGATCAATTTCGGTTACTTGCTGAAAAGAACTGCGATATCCATAAGTAAACAAGCCATGTGTTCCATACGTCGAACTGCAATGTTTAAAATGTCGGAAATGTATTTACACACGTTTAAAATGTAAGAAATGTCTCTACATAAGTTTTAAATGTATTAAATGTCTATGTATATATATATATATACGTTTAAAATGTAAGAAATGCCTTTACAGTGTTTAAAATCTTCTTCTTCTTCTTCTTCTTCTTCTTCTTCTTCTTCTTCTCTTCTTCTTCTTCTTCTTCTTCTTCTCCTTCTTCTTCTTCTTCTTCTTCTTCTTCTTCTTCTTCTTCTTCTTCTTCTTCTTCTTCTTCTTCTTCTTCTTCTTCTTCTTCTTCTTCTTCTTCTTCGCGTTCACCGGCTGTAAATTTCGGCGGAAAGTATGATTCACTTCTAGACTTTATTCTTGTTCCAGAAACTAACTGTTGCGTGCACATCCGTTTTAGAGATCTGACGTTTCTGTATGCAGACTATTTGTTCTAAGCAGATACACTCAGAT